CTACTTAATCAGCGTGCAAAAATATTAATTCTCTTGCTCATTCGGTAGGAAATGACGTCGTCTTACAATTTTATACTCAAAAGAAGGGTATAATTCGGTTTTAAAAAAACTTCTCTAATTCCCTATTAATTTTGAACCAGACCTGCCATTACACTTGCATTAAGGGTTTCCAAACTAAAAGCCGTATATTTTTCGCTTACGGAAAACCATACATTTCTCTACGGTATTAAGAGGAGATCATATGGGGTTAATAAAATTTAGCAGTGGATTGCAGTCATGTTGTTAGCTTTACAAGCAAAATTGGTAAGTGCAGAGACATGACGTTTTATGGACGACTATTTCACGGTATTAAAAAATCTCACAATAAGAAACTTTCTTAAAATCGAATTATACCTTTCCTTCGAGTATAAAACCTGGAGAAGACGTAATTTTCTACCGAATGAGCAAGGGAATGAGTATTTTTATACATGTTTTCTATGAAAAATAGTTGAATATTTAAGGGCACCGAACATCCATGAGAAAAATGCACGCTAATTAAGTAATCATTTTTACAGAGTATAGTTTTCGCATGCAGACGGAAAGAATATCGTTCGAAAGCTGGCATCCTGGGGACAACTGAATTGTTACAGAATCATGCTGCACGATAATTAGTTTTGCAACCCTACTTAGTTAGTCTTTCCGAAACGAAAATGCATTTCGGAATTTAGGTTAATATTTCGTGAGTTAGTCCACCTGCTGTAGATGACTTGTAAGCGCTCCTGCGTGCACGAATTTTGCCGCGTATTCTTCAAAAAACCGCGCAGACCATCTGCCAACGTTATGGCCTGCTTCCATGCTCATGGTTGACTGCAATGCATGCCACAGTCGCCTGAGAACCACCACCACGTAGACCAGGCGCTTGCATGCGTCCCGCGCCGCGGCTGAAAACACCAACGACTGACTCTCGGTCTGATAAAGAAAAAAAAGTTGCTGCCGCCGCTCTCCTCAGTAAAGACTGTCCAACTAACTCATCGACTGACCTCTGTCCGACCGGGCCGATGAAAAATCAACGACATCAGCAAATAGAGCGAGCAAAGTCCGTTAAAATAAAGACTTCGCAGGTGAGGAGGTCCAGCGGAACGCTTTGGTGGGGCTGGTGGCTATGCATCGTAGTCTCCCATTATTTCCCAAAACCATATGGGAGCACGCATTTCTGTTCTTTGGTTAAGACATATCTCTGAACGCCGCTCCTGTATGGCAGGGCTTTAGCATCTGAGCAACTGTCTGTCTGCTGACCAGGCAGCTAACCGTGGTCAATTCTAGGACCATTTGTTGCAGCTAGGTTCAGGCAGCCGACCGGTGTACGTCACAACTACGGCTAATTAAACCTAAGTAGTCGTGTTGTCTTTGATCCAATAGTTCATTACACTTTACTCCCTGTCTGTTTTTGTCTGTCCATTTGCATCTCAGTAAGCTCACTTTGACCCAACTGTGAAAAACGTGGTGACCCGGTGGGATTCGTACCCATGACAGCAAGGTGAGGCTTTAGTACAGCCAATGCTCTAACCATCTGAGCTGCGAGGCCCTACCGGACGACGCGAGTTTAATCACATTTGGGATCAAGTTTACCCGCCCAACCTACTGCAACGTCTGGAGTCCACCAAATCTGATGCAGTAAGCTGACTGCCCAAGCAGGATTTCCTAAGTTATGCATCTAGAATCCACTAGATGACTGCGAGGCTCACGTAGCTCAGAGGTATTTTGACAGATTTCAGGCGGCTAGAGCGTTGGCTGTACTAAAGCCTTCCCTTGCTGTCGTGGGCTCGAATTCCACCGAGGTACCGAGTTTTTCACAGTTGGGTCAAGGTAAATTGTTTGAAATCTGCCAAAACACCTCTGTGATTTCAAATAATTTGCTTTGACCCAACCGTGAAAAACTCGGTATCTCGGTGGGATTCGAGCCCATGACAGCAAAGGAAGGCTTAAGTACAGCCAATGCTCTAACCATCTGAGCTGCGAGGCCCAG